TTTGTTCTTGCAACCACCGATAAAAACTTTGCCACTGCTAACGTTCTAGCTTTTGTCCGGTCTTCCAGTAGGAACCTGACATAGTGAGCCTCTGATTTTCCCGGGAAAGGTACCAGCAAGGGTAGTATCAGTTCAGCCCTGGCCAAGCAGCAATAGAAGCACGAGCATCTAGTAGGCTCCTTTCACACCTATCCCTATCCATGATTAGGAGTCGGCTGGAATCAGCCACAAGCCTTCATAGTCTAACACTATCCAGTATACTACATTGGCCGTGTGATACAGGGTTTCTGCAACTGTGGCATATCTGAGCTTATTTTCATATCGTACCTCAAATGCAATCATTTCTTTGGTAGTAAGCATAAAGCTTTTTCTTGAGTGTTGTGCATTATCCCCCGACAGCAGTTCAATAACCTGCTTTGCAGCTGACAGATAAAGTGAGCAGCCCAAGCAGCTTCACGGTGTAACAAATTAACCTGCACCTATTGCTGTCCGGCAAGAAAACACTGAAAGGATACAGCATCACCATCAAATCCCGTCCCCACAATTTTTTCCCTGGCTGTCCCATGATGATATTATAAAGTAGTTGTGTTCTGTGTTATAAATTAAGCACTGCTGGGAGTTATTTATTTCTGTTTTCCATACTGTATATTTCTTATCAATAAAAAAATTGGTGTGGCGCAAGCAAATTTTTATTCTAAAATTGTGGCCCGGGGGGGGGGGGAGGGAGTGTGAGAACCACTGCATTATGGTCTGAGAGCTGCAAATCAAGTCATTTCATTTAGGAGTTTGCAATATCAAAATATTCAAGAATCTCTTTTGCATGAACTCTCCACAGCTTTTTTCAAAATTCACAGCAGTTAATGTTTTGCAAGAAAATATCAACCCCAACTGGGTGGTATTCAACTGAGTTTAACTCAGAGGAGACCCACAATGGGACCTTAGGGCAAAGGGTGGGTGATAAATAAATAATCGCAGAGAGAAGAAATGCCATGGTGCCTCTGCAGCAGCACAACTGGACTCCTTTATCTGCCCCAGTTGCAACAAAACATGTCTCTCCCACATCAGTCTCTACGGCCACAGCAGGCGCTGCAACCTTCCAACACTTAGACCTCACCACCAAAGGTGCATTCCTACATTGTATCCCAAGGAAGATGGATGCCAACCTGTGACTGAGTTCAGTAAATGAATGTCCACAGGTCTACACTGAGTAAAACTTAATTGAATACAACCCATGATATTAAGTATTTTATACCTTTATCCACCCTCATTTTAAATCCAACAGCATTTATAATAGGGACAATTTTAAAAAAGTAACTTGCTAATTTTAAATCTGGAGTATTTGCTTGAGAATTCCATGCATCATTTTCGTCAACTCCAAGAGACACTGCCTTGGTCTGCAATCCTACCCCTTTTTACCTGGGAAAAAGCCTCACTGTTCAGTGGGACTTATTTGTGATTAGAAGTGGTTAGGATTGCAGCTGTGATCTGCAACTCATACCCCATGTATTTTTAAAAGGGAAATTGCAGCCACATTTCTAGACACTTCAAGATGTTTGTGTCATACCAGCTAGTACAAATATACATATTTTTAAGGGGAGGAGGTACGATTGTTTAAGAGGCAACAGCAGACATTTATGAATGTTTGTAAGACATATGGTAGATGCCAGAGCCACTCTTTCTTGCTATTGGCAAATTTTGCTGTGAAATTTGTTTCCATAATTAATGTGTTTTGAAGTGAGTGACCTTATGTAACAACAGAATAAGCCTTAATTATTGTCGGTGATTAATCCATTCTGTTGGTTTTATTTTTAATCCTGTTATCCTAAAATTAATTTCCAATTTAAAGGTCATTTTACACGTTGGTGATATCGCATATGGCAATGCTGAGCCTCTCTTTCTTGTGAGAAATAAGAGTATCTGATTATCAAAGACACAGAGTGACTATCCATTGCCCTATATGACAGGCTGGGGGATTCTGTGCATTTCTGTATCCCCACCCACCTAATCTGTGTGTATGAGGCAAAACTGCAGTTCTTTGGACACACACACACACACACACACACACACACACACACATTTTAAAGCACCAGGCCAGTTGCCCAACCAGTCCAGCCTAGTATTCTCACCAGATGCCTATGGAAAGCCGGCAAGCAGGACCTGAGTCACTTTCCCTCACCGAGAGAAGCCAAGTTACAGGGAACCAGGCAGAGGGCCTTCTTGGTAGTGGCACCTGCCCTGTGGAATGCCCTCCCACCGGATGTCAAAGAGAAAAATAACTACCAAACTTTTAGAAGACATCTGAAGGCAGCCCTGTTTAGGGAAGCTTTTAATGTTTACTAGGTTATTGTATTTTAGTGTTTTGTTGGAAGCTGCCCAGAGTGGCTGGGCAGGGTATAAATAATAAATAATAATAATAATAATTATTATTATTATTATTATTATTATTATTCCCCTCTGGTGGTGGTTTCCAACAACTGGTATTCAGAAGCATACTGCCTCTGACAGAGAACATAACCATCAAGGTAGACAGCCTTGATAGCAGCCTCATCCTTCATGAACTTGTCTAACCCTCTTTTGAAGCCATCCAAGTGCCATCACATGGGGGTGATTCCCTGGGAGGGGATTATGTAAGACTGGAGATGATACAGGACTTGGTCCCAATGTTGCTTCATTGGAACGTGGTCTTAGTCATGCGGAAAGAGGTGTTAGTGCAATGCCAGGGATAAGCAGTATACACAGACTGCAGTGGCGGCTATATAATCCACATGGGTATGTCAAATTTATTTTATTTATTATTATTATTATTATTATTATTATTATTATTATTATTATTATTATTATTTTATTTATAGTCCGTCCATCTGGCTGGGTTTCCCCAGCCACTCTGGGTGGCTCCCAACAGAATATTAAAAACACGATAAAACATCAAACATTAAAAACTTCCCTAAACAGGGCTGCCTTCAGGTATCTTCTAAAAGTCAGATACAGTCATACCTCATGTTACGTTTGCTTCATGATACGTTTTTTCAGGTTACGTCCCACGGCAACCCGGAAGTACCGGAAAGGGTTACTTCTGGGTTTTGCTGCTCGCGCATGCGCAGACGTGCAAAATGACGTCACGCGCATGCACAGAAGCGGTGAATCGCAACCCGCGCATGCAGATGTGCCACTGTGGGTTGTGTTCTGCTCATGTTGCGAATGGGCCTCCGGAACGGATCCCGTTCGCAACCAGAGGTACCACTATAGTTGTTTCTTTCCTTGACATCTGATGGGAGGGCGTTCCACAGGGCAGGTGCCACTACCAAGAAGGCCCTCTGCCTGGTTCCCTGTAACCCTAGCCGTGAGGGAACCGCCAGAAGGCCCTCAGAGCTGGACCTCAGTGTCTGGGCAGAACGATGGGGGTGGAGACACTCCTTCAGGCATACTGGGCCGAGGCCGTTTAGGGTTTTAAAGGTCAGCACCAACACTTAATTCTGCTCGGAAACGTACTGGGAGTCTAGCTGGGAGGAGCCAATGAAGAGCAGAAGCTAAATGCCTGATAGTGGTGAAGGCAAGCTCTGTTGGGGCAGGGTGGCGTTGAAGTTACAGAGCTAGATTTCCAGAGCTGGAGAGTGGGCACAGTGAAAGCTTTGATCCCTGGAGATGAGCCAGCCCACCCTAAGCCAAGGTCAAGGCTGGCAGATCTTTAGCTGTCCCAAGGACAGTAGAGATGCTAAATATACTCTGCTTTTTCAGAAGGGGAGTTTTTGCACATTCCCATTGAATGTAATAGAATATCAAACTTCCAAGTGACTTCAATAGGATTATATGATCCTAGCTTCATAACACTTGGGTCAAGATCTCAATGCCCTGTGAGTTAAGCAGGAAATAGTTCCCTTTTGAAGTCAGTCTCGGGAACTAAGAATACAAGCAATATTAACTTTTTAAGGTGTTGAATGCCCTCCTTCTGGGAAACTCGCTGCAACAAAAGAGGGGGGGAAGGCTCCCGTTTACAGACATTCTTACCAAATAGAGACCCATGCTATGAATGCAAATGGATAGCATGGATACCTTGATTTGCCTAGTTACCAATCCAGCACCCAGGATTCCTCATGCAGCTCCTGTTACTGGATTGGGATTTTTTCTTAATGTGCACATTTCTAAATATGCATCCTAAAATATACATTTTAACACATTTGAGTGAATGTTTTTGAGCAAAGAATTGTATTGTGAAATCTGGAGAAGCGCAAAATCTGAAGGATAAGTATGTTCTGATCTGTGTATTAATCTAGGAGGTGTGAATTAAATGTGCAGACCAAATGAAATTCTTCTCCATTCTTGGTCATGCATACAGTATTTTTATCATTGGGAACATTGGGGAAATAATACAGCTTCTTGCTTTGCAACCCTATTCATTTCTACTTGGAAATAAATCCCACTGAGCACAATGGGCTATCAAATAAGTGTGCATGGAATATAAAATCTCCAAAAGGAATTGCACTCTTGATTCTTCCTCTCACCATCATTCCTTACATAATCCAAGTAAGTCGGTCTATAGGAGGAGCAATTGAAGCAAAATAAAGCACTTAAGTCCTCCCTGATTTCAGCTTAAGTCTCATTTGAAATCAATGAGTTACAGAAATGCTTTAGTGAGACAGTTTGCAGAAATCTTCATTTTTCCTCTACCAAGATGTATATAAGTTAGAAGTGGGGATTTTTAAAAAACATAAAACCTATTTTTCCACCAAGCAGCAGATTCCTTTTGTCATATTATAAGCCGCTTTCTAACCCTGATGGATTCAAAAGTAAGGGGAGAAAGGGGCTGATGCTAGCCCAAAAATTTAAGCAGAGCATCTTGGTGGCTGTAAGCTCTTAGTATCTCCAGACTCCCCAAAGGGCCTTGCTGGATTGCAGCCTAGAGAACTGATTAATAGTTTTCAGCAGCAATGGGTAGTACAGCAGGATATCGAGTCAACTGCACACACATAAAGCCTCCAATATACGTTTAATTGGACACCTACCTCAAACCACTGCCCATGCGACTGCATTTTCAGGATGACACAAGGATCTGGCTTGGAGAGGGCATCTCTGTCTGATATGCTTTTGCATGCGACTCTCAGTTCCACCTTCGTCAGACATGGGCTGCTAAAGATCCCCAGAGTATTGGCCGCTGATTCATAGATGTTGCTCATTTTCTGCATTCTCTGTGGGAAAAGAGGGAAAGGTTCAGTGGTAAAACCACTTTTAAACAGGAACACTGTATTCTTGTATCTGTAGGGAGATTGCTCCAAGAATCTTCAGTTCTCAAATAAGGGACAATTTCTAACCAATAAACCAAGCATGTTTGCTCGGTGTAGTCTTTGGTTACAAAACCAAATGGCACTCAGGGCCCGAACATGATAAATCAATGAAATCAGAGCCGTCTTTCCCATTGGTGTTAGTGGTCCGTTGCGCCAGGGCGCCGGCCTCTCAGGTGCGCCCTAGCAAGTGGGGGAGGTGCGCGGCTTTGCCGGCAACCTCTCCTTTCCCTGCATGCCCTCCAGCTGCACCCCGCCAACTATATGGCTGGCGGGCGTGCAGCTTCCTTCCCAAGCCTCCGCAGGAGGAGCACGATCCCTGCAGAAGCTTAGGATAGAAGCTGCGCGGAGCTTCCCTCCCAAGCCTCTGCATCAACTAAAGACGGCCATGTTCCCGGTCGTTGTCTGCTTCCTGGCAAAAGGCGGTGTGCAGTCTTCCTGGGCTGCTTTCTCGGGCGCTCCAACATCGGAGAGCATGTCCGCCAGCACGTTTTCCTGCTTGATCGTCACCACCACGCTGGGGATCAGGGCGGTGGGGGAGGCAGAGGACATTTTCCACCGCCCCCTCCCTTGTTTTGGAGTTGCCGGGGGGGCGGCGGGGGGATCTTTGCACCACGGCGCAGGACATGCTTAAGACGGCCCTGAATGAAATTATTATTTATGCTCCTACTACTCTGAAGTACATACAGATCTCACTACCTGAACACAATGTGTTTTCAGGAAATCATTTGTTAGGTGAACGTTTGCATAACAAGTTGATGATATCCATTGATTCCTATGGGAAATTTTAAGGTTGCTTATTTGTTTAGAGTACACTCAGGTCCAGCTGTTTGGATGCCTAAATCTGTGGTGTGTGTATAGCGAGGTTTGAGTACTAATTGCTCATGTCTGTTGCCGGGGTGAGGAGAAAGGAATATTGGAGTGGGAGAGGTATTGTGGAGTGGAGTAGCTGGAATTTTGAGCAGCAGCACTCTGTTCCACAACAGTTTGCTGCAGTCCCAGTTGCAATACTGACAGTGAATTTCATGCTTCATATCCGTCACACATGCAATAAAACTGGTCACTTACAGAATGCAGAAGGACAATGATATTTTGAAGTGATGTTGGTATATTCGGTTGGTATAGAAATAGCGGCAAAAAGCACAGTGTTAAGAAGGATGAGCTGGAACAGAAATCTTCCATTCAAATTTCAGCTCATCCATGAGTGCAGCAGGTGGCCTTAGATAAACTACTGGCATTTTCCCTTACGTCACCATTCATAATAACTTAAGGGCATAAGAGGATCCTTCCTAGGCTCCTATCTATTCCAGCATTCTCTTTCCCACAGTGGCCAACCAGATGTGCAGGGAGAGGCCAGGAGCCAAGCGATGAGCACAACACTTGTGCTGCACAGCAACTGGTATTCAGAGGCATGCTGCCTTTGATCCTGGACAAGTAGCCATCACAAATAGCCAGAGATTCTCCAGGGATTTCCATGGCGGTTGTAATGATTGCTGGAATCATGCTTGTGAAAGTGTGCTGAACAAAACTTGTTCTCCAGCAAAGACTGGTCATCTCCCAGCCAAATCTGGGGAGCTGTTTGTTCTTTCCAGGGCTCTCATGGCAGAAATGAATCCTCTGTGCATGGGTGCCGGCTTTATTGCAACGTGCCTCTTCTTGGGGATAGTTGGGCTGTTATTCTTGGGCTGTTGAATCTCCACTTTTTAAGAAACCTCTCACCAGAATGTATGCAGCTGCACATTCATAGGTTGCTATTGCATTGGATTTTAAATAAGCATCCTTGGCATTATTATGAATTTATGGCAGGGCTGCAGAAACTCAGCCATAGCTCCCAGGTCACACCCCACACTGACTTGGCTCTGCACTCTTGTCTAGTGATTTCACTTGGCTGGAATGTGCCCTTGTATTTCACAAATACTAGAATCAGAATTTGCCTTTTAATTTTTAAAATGAGCTTTATCTCCCCCCCCTTTTTTCTTCTCTTATCTACTTTGCTTTTCGTTATTGCTTTGATATGTTCTTCAGTGTCCTCTACTGTGGGTTAATGAGGGTACTCACATGAAGGTGATGGATGGTTGTTGAAGGACCCTGTGTGAGTGGCATAGAAGGGAAGAGCTCCCAGGGTGGGAGGCTGGGAGAAGAAAGGGAAGCTCCTAGGTGAGAGCTGGGAGGGCCCACCCCCTTCTGTGTGAGCCAAGGGTTAAGACCTACCTTTGAGAGAGGGCTTTGAAGTTTGCTTGCCTGGTTGGAGAGTTTCTCTCCATATCCACTATCCCCACACCCTCCACTGCCATGAGGCCCCCAGAAAGTTACCCAAGAGGGAATGTTGCCCTTGGCCGGAAAAAGCTTCAACAACCCTGGTTTATGGGTTGGCCGTTAACTGGTGGGGATTGTCTTGCTAAAGTACCAGTATGTCAAGGCAGTGGCATCAGGGAGTGTTGAATTTTGAAACTTGCTAGGGGATAGATGTCCACAGCTTCAGAGTTACAAAATTATTGGAAAGTTTTGTGTCCTTTCCATCTCAAGCGAGCAAGGGGGTGGGGTGGGGGTGAGGGTGGGGAGAATATCATCACCCCATTCTGCTACATTCTAGGTTATTTAAAACATTGCACTTGTTCCACCTTTCCAAACAGATTAGATGGGGTGTTAACATTTGCATCATTCCAATCTCACAAGACTCTTGAAATGTACTGTAACAGGGCTGGTAATGATTACACCTAAAAACATACCAACCTGGATGACTTCAGTATCAAGAGAGGTGGAGGGAAATCTCTCCAAGGAACAGAACCTGATTGCCTCATTCCGCTGGGATATAATAAATATATTTTCTCCTCCTTGATATAATGCTATACACTTAACCTACTCCTTCTATATGTAGCATCCAAGGACAGAGTGGGGCTTGTGGTTCTTCCTCTATGATTCCCATGACCCAGTCACTTTATTCCTACATTACTGAAATGGAGTAAGAAGTGGCAGGAGGACAAAATAGCCCTTTGCTACTGGCCCTTAAGTGTAATCACTAATTTGCAATATTCCAGTAAAGTTTGAATGCATCGAAGTTGGGAGGATAAGAAAAGTACAGTGGTACCTCGGGTTAAGAACTTAATTCGTTCCAGAGGTCTGTTCTTAACCTGAAACTGTTCTTAACCTGAGGTGCCACTTTAGCTAATGGGGCCTCCCACTGCCGCCGTGCTATTTTTGTTCTCACCCTGAAGCAAAGTTCTTAACCCAAGGTACTATTTCTGGGTTCACAGAATCATAGAATTGGAATAGACCACAAGGGCCATCGAGTCCAACCCCCTGCCAAGCAGGAAACACCATCAGAGCACTCCTGACATATGGTTGTCAAGCCTCTGCTTAAAGACCTCCAAAGAAGGAGACTCTACCACACTCCTTGGCAGCAAATTCCACTGTCGAACAGCTCTTACTGTCAGGAAGTTCTTCCTAATATTTAGGTGGAATCTTCTTTCTTGTAGTTTGGATCCATTGCTCCGTGTCCGCTTCTCTGGAGCAGCAGAAAACAACCTTTCTCCCTCCTCTATATGACATCCTTTTATATATTTGAACATGGCTATCATATCACCTCTTAACCTCCTCTTCTCCAGGCTAAACATGCCCAGCTTCCTTAGCCGTTCCTCATAAGGCATCGTTTCCAGGCCTTTGACCATTTTGGTTGCCCTCCTTTTGGTTAGCGAAGTCTGTAACCTGAAGCATCTGTAACCCGATGCATCACTGTATTTTATAGCACCCTTGATCACACCCAAACCAGACTGCATAAAAGGCAGATAAGTGAAATATTCTGATGCATCTTAAATGGAGAATTATGTACGAGTAGTTGTTATTATAGTTTGCTTTAGTATTTCCCCCTCCAATATTTCACCAGCACATTAGTATTTTATTAGCCACTTCCTTCAGTCCTTCCCTGGCGAGAAGCTAGTATTTCTGAGAGGGAGATAGTACAGAAACATGATGGGTTTGAGAAGGAAGTGTCCTCTCTAGGTCACACCGTAATGCATTTTTCATTTACTGCCACGTTGATTTCATTTTCCCTTTCTTTCATCAGGGAAAAAGGTACATCATGTCACCTAGGGACTCCCTTACAGAGTCATTTTTCATTAACCAGTGACACACCTCATGGCAGAAGAGATAGCTGAAAAAGAGACCCATACATAAATAGAAGGTGATTCAAAAAAAGGATTATTATTATTTTTTTAAAAAAAACCTTATGTAAAAGAAAAAAAATCCTTACTGGGGAAGAAGGAAATATGTAATCAACAAAGCTAGGGATTGTTCTTGTTTGTTTGTATCTGAGTATAGATGCCAAAGTACAAAATACAAACTAGTTTCTTTGGCGGGGGGTGGGGGTGGACACATGAAATTCGAGGAATTAGAATCTGCCTGCCTGCCTCTTCCTTCTCCCTCCTAGGCGCAATTGATGGGGACACATGACAGATTGAAATTTATTTTATATCTCTCCCGGTATGCCCCACGGAGAGCCTCAAGGTCCATAAATAGCAACACCCTAGAGGTCCCGGGCCCTAAGGAAGTTAGATTGGCTTCAACCAGAGCCAGGGCCTTTTCAACTCTGGCTCCGGCCTGGTGGAACGCTCTGCCTCATGAGACCAGGGCCCTGCAGGATCTGATTTCTTTCCGCAGGGCCTGTAAGACAGAGTTGTTCCACCTGGCCTTTGGCTTGGAGCCAGTTTGATTCCCTCCCCCTCTCTCTTTTTTTCTTTTTCCTTTCTCCTCCTGTGATGAGGCTGCATTTTAATATTTTATTGTTTCAATATTTTAATGTTGTATTTTAATCTTGTTGTTAAGTTGTATTCATTCAACTTGCTTTTATTATTGCTTGTTAGCCGCCCTGAGCCCGGCCCTGGCTGGGGAGGGTGGGTATAAATAAACAT